TTGCTTTTTCACTTCCATCAGGGAAAACGTGAGAGATAACTGCTCCAATACCATAATTGGATGCGTCTGAAATCACAGTAATGTCCAGAGCTGGATTGTAATGCGTGAGAAGCAAATTAGAGCTAAGTTGTGACTTCACGTTATCAAACGCAGATTGACAATCGTGTAACGAATCAGCTTCCGTATGGTCAGCTAAGTGCGAAGACAGAATCCTTGTACACAAAGACTTCGACATCAGGATACTTGGTCTAAATCCTTCTGGTGTGCATCTTATTGATTGGAAAGAGGAAGCATAAAACCGAAGGACATGGATAGAAACAATACGAAATGGAGTTCGTCAATTCAGCGGTCGCCAAATTCCGTCACAAAGAGACGGCCTCACCATGGTGTGGTGGTTTATTTGCATCTGTAAGCCGCTGAGATATAGTGGGTGGGGGGTGTGTGTATTCGACACTGGCTTAGTTTCATACTTCGTTGGTCAGTGGTTATCGGTGTGACCAACACAATCTCCTGGTGTTGTTGTGACAAGGCTTGCGGCGTCACTTATTCTTCGTCGTCTCACGCTGGAACGCGAAGCCTTGACTAGTGAGGATCCTGGTATTCCTTTATTTTACTGTTACGTTTGATTCTGTCGATCGACCAGTGCTGTTAACTACACTTGCCCAACAGGGTGTGCTCCAGAAGTCTCATAATGCGATGCGATCCCTATATTCACATACTTCTGGGCGGGTGAGGGTGTATGGCGAGCTCTCCAAAAACTTCCCTACAAAAGTGGTGTCCGACAAGGATGTTCACTCTCTTCATTCTTGTTCAACTTCGTCAATGGTGAAATAGCGAGGCAAACACTGGACGGTCTTCAAAACCCCGGTGTTCGAACTGTTGCTGGTGGGAGCCTTGTCGATTTGGAGTACGCAGTTGACGTCACCGTCACCCTTGAAGACCGAAGCGAAGCACAAGCTCTGTTGAATAGACTGGCCACCACTACACCATTTTTAAGCATGCGCCTTGCACGTTCAAAGTGCAAAGTCATGCTTCAGAACCTGCAGTCTCCGAACATATTCTCTTCAATTCAAGGAGAATCACTGGAGATTGTGGAAAACTCTGCATACCTTAGTAGTCGTATTGGCTCTGACGGAAGTGCGTCTGATGAAGGCGCGCTGTTATTGATGCGACAACCGCATCTTCGAGTTGTGGACGCTGAGAATACATTAGCCTTGATAATGCGTCAGCCTGGCCCATCGCATCAGTTGGTTGGTATTTGATGGAGAAATCGTAGCCCACGAGCATTGTTGCCCAGCGTTGCAAGCGATTTGCTGTGTACACAGGGATACCTTTCTTTGATCCGAAAATACTGAGAAGTGGTTTAGGATCGGTGATGATCGTGAAAAGACGACCACATAGCATTTTATGGAACTTCTCGTGCCTCGTTCAGGATGGTGCAAACCGCGAGCTGGACAGCGCGTGACTTGGCAGAAAGGCGAGAAGGAGATCACGAAGAGTTTGGGCGTTCTTCTTGTACGCCTTCCAGTATGGGGTCCCTGTGACCCTGTTAACTGCTCCAATACCATAATTGGATGCGTCTGAAATCACAGTAATGTCCAGAGCTGGATTGTAATGCATGAGAAGCAAATTAGAGCTAAGTTGTGACTTCACGTTATCAAATGCAGATTGACAATCGTGTGACGATTGTGCTAGGTCCCCACCTAGTGCTGACCCACTCTTTTTCTCTTCTTTTCACTCTATGGCTTTTAATATAATTGTATATATGTATGTGTATATAACTAGGTTAACCGTATGGGTGTACGGCAGCGAGGCATCAGTGCCAACACTGATGTTGCTGTTCTTGATGATGATGATGATGATGATGATGACGATAATAATAATGATTGTGCGCGGGTGTCCAAAGGCGTACTGTTATGTGACAAGCCAATCTGGGAACGGGTGCCAACCCGCCGTGTGCTTGTGGTCAACCATCGCAATGCTAGTTTGATTAGCATAGCGCCACATGTAATGGACACTGGGGGGCTAGCCCCACACCACTAATCACATGTAGAAGCTGACATTTCCCGGATAGCCAAAGGAACTAAAATCACTATTCGTTCTTGCTTGACTCACATCCAACAGCTTCATGAAGCTTGCTTTGAGCGCAGCACCAACAGTTGTGAAAGCTGCTCTGGGCGTTAAATCGCTACAATACAAGGCGGTGTTTAGACCACCTCATGTTCTCGGAACTTTTCACTGTTACGTTCAAGGGTACCCTGGCTAAAAGTGGGCAAAACAGCTGTGAACTTTTTAATCTAACTCGGATCAATACTTGCCACTGTAGTTAAAATGGAGATTAGAATCAACCGTGGACGCAGGTCGTGATTTTGAGAACGGGAAGCAGAATCGTTCAAGTCGAAGGTGGATGCCATCTGTATATATCCGAAGCCTATATTATTTTTGTCTTAGACACAATCTGCTCTTATACTTCAGAGTCACTTCAGTTCCCATGCGTACCTTAACCCTGGTCGCCACTTTTGAGACCGTTCCTTGTCAGGATAGTGCCGCTAGTTAATTGATAATCAGCTCTTTCATCTGCATAGTGCTCTGCAAATTTGTCCCTCCTGGTTACGAGACATAATCCTCCAAATTCATTCCCCAAAAATCGCATTCGAGGTTAGCAGGTTGGTATGGGGTTATGAGATTTTCAAGCCCTTAGGCCTCCACTTAAGCACGTGCATAGCTTGCAGCGCACCGCGTTAGTAAAGACCACTCGCTTGGAACCATCCAATTAGTCCTATTCAGGGGGTTATCTCTGTAGCACTACTTACCAATCTTACCACCAAACATTGAAGGTGTCGCATGTTCCCTACAGGATGCTTTATGCACTAACGGACTTCAAAATCATACCACAACAAGCAGATGTTTAAGCTCAAAGTAGTATGACACGAATAAATTGGCTCAACTTGTTACATAATTTGAGTTCCAAGAAGGCGTTGAACAACGGTGCTAGCAGTGCTTGATATCTCCGCTGCACTCTTCCGAATGTTGCGTCCTGCGGAAATAGCTGTTTTCGAAGTGACTTTCGTACAACTGATGTCGTTTTTATCGATGCTAATTGTTCTCAGCCTACCGCGATAGGACAGCGACAACGTGCTGTATTCAGGTTTACTTAATTGGCTTACGCTGAACTCTATAGGATGCGTCTGTGAATTTGTTCTCAGAGGTAGGATAATCAACTCCGCTTTGAAAACAGGGTTGCAGATTTTTCGAACTACTCCTCTGATCAACTCAATCTTTCGTTCCTTCAGTTCTTGTTGTAAGTTGTCAAAAGAACAACCATTCGAAGTTCGGGTTGTCAGGTTGTATCCATCATATACTCCATTATACGCTGTTTAAAACTTCAGGTAATCGAGAAATGGATGGATCGTGACTTCTTTATGACCGCAGAGGAAGCAGCAGCGGCGGGAATCGTTGACAGGGTGCTCAAGGAGGCTCCAGTTAGATCAGACAAACATGAGGACACTCAGGCTGTCAAACATCCATGAGGTATCGTCTACTCCACGGTCTTTCTGTGATAGCTGACCAATGACGACCGCATGGAAGTTTCTCGAATTGCTCCCACTGCTGGAGTTTTTATCATAACCACCAACACCCTTGTACTTCGCCTCGTGTGTTCGAAATATACAGTTGATTTCGTCTGCTTACTCTTTCTTCACACAGGTTTCCCATGTAAAGGAGGCTCCAGTTAGATCAGACAAACATGAGGACACTCAGGCTGTCAAACATCCATGAGGTATCGTCTACTCCACGGTCTTTCTGTGATAGCTGACCAATGACGACCGCATGGAAGTTTCTCGAATTGCTCCCACTGCTGGAGTTTTTATCATAACCACCAACACCCTTGTACTTCGCCTCGTGTGTTCGAAATATACAGTTGATTTCGTCTGCTGACTCTTTCTTCACACAGGTTTCCCATGTAATGTATGCTGACCTAGTAATGCGCAAAGGATACTGAGCTACTGATGTGTATCTGAGCATACCTGATACGTTCCTGCAAGGGTTTGAGCCGTTAAATCACCAGGCACTTGAATAAGACCTCTGAAGACCTGCTGTAATCTTGTCAGCTCACCAACATATACATTGGATTAGTAACGCTGAGGTACACTAGATTGTTTTGGAGTGAGCTGATCTCACTCCATAAGTTACGCCTGTTATACCATGTACTTCCAATGTAAGTTGACAGTCTACCCCTCACAGCTATTTTGCCTAATTCTAACCAGGAAACTCAGGCGAGTTGATACCCGTTTTCTGCATCAGATTATTATACTCGACTTATCAACAACACTGATAAGCGTCGCTCAACTACGCAGTCATCGGTGCTCCCGCACTTAAGATGTCGTCTGCAGTTCCTAGTTCTCGAATTTTCCCTTTCAGCAAAAAACCTGAACGACCCAATGTCAAATAACAGTGCGTCTGACGTCCAATCATTCCTTCCCCGGTCTACCATCTCTTGGTGATTGACTCTGTAGCCTCTGAAACCAGTTCACCCCTGCTACACAGTTTATGGCTTAACTGGATGGTACATTTAAATTAGGACCCTTCGGGGCGCACCAAATTGGGTCCGGAATTTGCCTCCATCGGCACAGTCCAGATTACTCTGTAATATCTGGACATGGCAACTACTTGCGTCTTCCGTTATGGGTCCATACACTAGACTAAAACGGTGCAAAGCACGATACTTCCATTTTGCTATCAATCTTGAAAGTGACTTCCAGCGGTCTCACTAATGGTTGCGTACATGAGTCTCGGGTATTCTCGGCTGCCGACGCTGCTGAAACAGGCTCAAATGCTATAATTGAGGCGCTGTCATCTCTGATCTCGGGATAGCATAGTGTTTAAGGCGCGAATTTACTGACTGAAGGACCATGGTTCGAACCTAACCTCAGCTTTTCGACTGTTCCTGTCTAGGCTTGGACAGCCCGACGGTACCTTATCCCTCATGCCAGCTAGCTACCGAAAGGGTGTTGCAGCTCAACGGTTTGTCTGTTTGTTGTTTATCTGTTCGTTTGTCATCTCTGGATTTGCATCTTCTTGGTCTTCAGCTTCCATCTTTATCCTTCGTGATTACTTGTTCACTGAAGCTTGTGCACCCCTTGGCTTACCGCATTAGTGCTCTATCTTGCAAGTCCCTAACGCACCGATTGGCTTCAAAAACGGATCGCCACTATGCTGGAAGGAGTATTTTTAGAGCGCGTAACCGCACTTGGCGATGCAGTGTGGTCGCATGCTGTGACGAGGTTTACCAGGCAGGTATGCCAGTGTACACCTTTATGGCACACAATGTGGGTAGCATACGAAATTGCGTGGCAATCAAGCCTAGCTAAACAGGTGACTCTGCCGTCAATGTCACTAAATCGGGGCCACAGGATATACCTGCGGTTCCTGAGTAAGGAGATTGACTGCGGCCCGTTGCGGTCTCACCTGGACCCATTTTACAAACTCATTTAGCCGAGGTGAGGTTGAGCTCGGTCTCCAGTGAACTGACCCGACGTGGCCAGTTAGGATAAAATATGTGTCAAGGTTTGGGCGATGCGCGTGCTTCTTGGTTGATATGTTTGCGGTGTTTTTGTATTTTGTGGGTTTCGACAGCCGCAGTTGTGGAAGTTCCACGCAGAGGGTAAATCTAGACGAGTGTTTTTTCACAGAAGTTATCATTTTAAGTAGTTCGCCTTTGTTCCTAGTCTTTATGCGCTAGAACTGCCAGACATTATACAGCTTCCAAAAGCGATTCTTTCTAGAATGGTATTTTTATTCTATTCCTTGATATTGCGCGGAAAACACACTTCCATAGCCAGAAGCATGACCCCAGGAATTAAGCAACTTTGCACAATCTTCATATGAATCACTGTTGTTGGTTGTCACTGAATTCCGCCCTTATTTTTTAAGGCACGTTCTAATGGAGGTCTCAAGAATGTGATTTCCGCGGACGAGCTTCTAACAGCTACCGGCAATTCTCAATGAAGTCTTGAAGTACTGTTTGGCGACTAGCCTACTTTCTGCATTTCACTAGCATGTATTGAATCGAAAGTCCCAATCCGATGTGCTACATTTGTCTCTGTGGGTTTCAGTCGGCGACAGAAAACTTCAGTAATTCTTATGGTATCGTTCGTCTGTTCTCAACACAATGCAGTTCCCTCATTTACCACCGTTTGGACTGACTCCTGATCACTAAGCGAGTACTCATTCTCAATCAAAATTCAAATAGCAGGGCTTTTGCACCATATAAGGAATATGCTATCACACAGAACTGGCTAACTATGGGGTGTGGACAAGATTGCACATCCTCTTTTTGATCGGTGAGGTGCCCTTTGCACCCAGAATTCTGGTATCTGGTCGTCGGTTTCTGCACAGCATTGCCTGGGTTTGGTGGGAAGATCGATCGGAAGTTCTTAGGTATACCATATAGTTTCCGGAAGCCGCTGATATTCCATAGGCTGCGTTGGCTAGGCGGCCTACCTGATGCTACGATCGTCTACCCCACTGAGTCCTTATCCGACTGCGCAACCGCGAAAAGATTAGACAATCAGCCAGTGAATTGTGACTGTTTTGGCAAATAAACTCTCACGTTTCTAACTGTCAGTTTTTCGCATGCAATACCATGTCTATACGCAGCGGCCGATATACCCAGAGTACGCAGCCACTGACGTCCATACATCAAAGCCATCATCGTCGGTACGTAGTCTTTCCTATTTCTTTTTAATCGCACAGCAGTGACTGTTCGATAGTTTCTTCCTTCGGATCCGTGACATGTGTGAACGGATCTCTGGCAGCTAGAACAAACCTGTTCCTGTTACACGGTTGGTTGCAGATTGACCACTAGTTAGACTGTTAAAGCTCTCATCTGTTTCGATTTCCAGAGTTCTTCGCGCAGTCCTATTGGAGTAGCACAATGACCACGGTAACTGGTGGTTCTCTTAGCACCGGTCCAGGTACGTATGGGTCCGGCTGCGCGACAGTTTGCGGTGAGTCGCGTGAGTTTGGATTCTTGTCCAAGTTGAGCACATTGTCACGAGCACGTCGTCGGAAGCAAGAAGCGGATGAGCTTGCGGAAGAGGCGCGACAGGCGATAGAGGATCGTTTTCGGCAGGATTATTTCGAACCGAATTTGGACGGATTTCAGCTCGCTGAGGGCGAAGAGCGATCAATGATTGAGCCGCATTCAAAGGTGAGTGTTATGCGCTCGCACACTGGCACCAGTCACGGATCTGTCAACTGTACTTGTTTACCACTGATGGAGCTTTCAAGAGAATGCATGGATCGCAGACTCATATCGTGTTTTGTTAGCATTTTTCTTACATTCAACTACAAAGCTCGAAACGTGCAGATTATATGTAAGACATGGTAACCCGAATCCACCTGATCAGAAGAAGTTCACAGTAGTCGAGGAGTAGAACATTGAACCACCATAAGCGGCAATAAATTAACCTTCGTAAGAGTATTTGTTGGTTTCATGCGTGTTTCAGACCTCACTCTTTTTCCTAGGTAAACCGGAATACATTGAGTTATACTCGTTCCAAACAAACTAGAACATGATAGGTTTGCTTCTGAACATAGCCTGCATCATTTGCTGTAACTATTACGGCACTAGCATATTTCTACTGACCCCTCTCTTGAAACTCTTGAAACTCTTTTGCCGAAAATATCAAAGTTATGGACAGGCCAGGTGAAGTGTTTGGAACGCGTGCGTCTTTGTCAGACGCGACGGATAGTTCCTGAAGAACCAGTTAAAAGGGTGAATGCTCAACTGCACACAGGAAGATAACATATGCATGGAAACGCCTCTTGGAACTAGAGCAGACCGCGTATCAGAATTTCTCCAAAGCCAGTAGTATTCTTGCATAGTCAGACATTTTATGCAGAACTCTGCTGGTGAAATCCTTCAATCGATCTGCCTGTTCCCCTACTCACTGTATAGCTTAAATAATTAGAAAATGGAAATTCCATAGTCTTGGCTTCGTAGAGTTTTAGTAAACAATGGGTATTGTCATTGACAGCACAACGTCAGGGTTCAACAATCAGCTTCACTTTCATGCAATCGCAATCTGTTCGAAAGCCCTATTTTTAAGAATAAAAGTGGATGAGGAAAGGACTCACCCTAGCCTACCACAATCATTCCAAGGTGCCTACGACTTCAGACACTCGATCAGGCACTTTGGATAGAAACTGACAACAAAAACGTCGTTGATGCCGACTAGCAGCTATACGTTGAAGCGTCTCCAAGCGTGCACAGAGAGGATCACATGGACCCCGTCCTAAGAAGCGAATCACACAGACACTGCCCAGGCTTTTCGTAATCGCCTCTATCCTGCTTCTCCAAGTTGAACGGTGACCATCCCTCTACTTGTGCTACTGATCTGAGCACGAAAAACTGCACTCTTTTTGGCAAATCATGATTCACCGTATACACAACATGACCAGATCACCTCAGCTGTTTGTATTGGATTCATTCTTCGACTAAAAAATCGAACACGCGTTTTCTGATTTTTCGCTTTCGTTGGTGTCTTTCTACTCGAGCTACAATTCTTAGACAATTGTGATCGAAGACCTGGAGACATCTCAATACAACTGATCGTAGAAACCATGCCTCAACCATATGACAAAAGAGCCTCATATACACGTCTCTTGAGATTTACGGGTATCCCGTTTGCTACCATAGATGTTTCAAACTATCAAACAAGCTCGAAGTAGTTCAGTGGTTAGTACTCGAACTTACTGACCGGAAGTTCCTCGGTTCGAGCCCAACCCCAGCATTTCGACCACTCAAGTCTAGGCTCGGGTATCTTGGTAGTATCTCAACCGTTGTGCTCCCTTTGAGTGGTATGGTTAGTGGTAGTGTCCAGAGGTATGACCTTACAGTTTCTGGGTGAAAAGTGTATACCAAAGGACGAGGTGACTTTGATCACTTCCTCGAAAACACCTGTGCCTTCTTTTCGGACGCCAGAACGATGTCTGCATGTTCCAGACCCGCAGGATTTCGTGAAAACCGGTTTTTTGAAGACAGCGTTCGTCTCATCACTTCTTTTAAGCACTCCAGAAGAATCGATCGACATGCTAACAATGCCTTTCTACTACGTTTTAGGAAGCGATCTCCGTCGGGTGAACAACCAACTGATCCATTGGGAATTTCTTTTCGGAGAAAAACTATTCAGTGGTAGTGCGTGTAATTTGGGATTTGTCCTGTAAATGAAGCCAGTCTTTGCCGGTGTGTCGAGAAGCACACGACAAATCCCCAGTTTAAAAAAATGATGGCCTGAAAACGCGTGACGAAAGTACGCTGTTCCCTGTTGAATTCCTAACCTCTGTCAGCCCGAGACTTAAGGATTGAATTAGTAATGGACAGGCTTTACCTTCACTTGATACCGTATTAGTTCCCCCAATGAATAAGCTTGTTTTTTGGTCGAATTTATTCTTCACGAACAGTTCTGGATCTAAAAATTAGTAAGTGAACATATCGTATTTCCTCTCCACCTAGTAAGGATATTTGGAAAGCGTTGTCCTCGAAATCTTCACTCTGACTTTCTGTGATTCAGGCGTTTACAGTTTGCCTTCGCTAACTCGGAGATTGGTCTGTTCATCGGTCGTTCGTTTCTCTTACTCCCATCCACAGGAGCATCCGTTGGTTCAAGAAGCCGTTCAGACTCTGGTGAGCTGGATCAATGCGGAGTTGGTAGATGAGCGAATTCTAGTTCGGAATCTTGAAGCAGACCTGTACGATGGGCAGGTCCTACAAAAGCTTATTGAGAAGCTTTTAAGCGTCAAGATCAACCATCCGGAAGTTTCACAAACAGAAATCGGACAGCGCCAGCGTTTAAAGGTGACTTGGTTTAATCCTGAATTCTTGCTACCGATTATGATACTTCCTGATGCTTTACGTTCGCCAGCGTTTCTCCGCAGAAATAAGCTTCTGTAGATACGATTTCGCTTCCGATTTCAACATTTCTGAACCTGTATTGATAGAGCCAACTAACTTGTCGTTACCTCAGCTCTGTCCGGAATCTGTCAGTTTTTCAGTTTTTTTCGGTTTATCGGACCGGGGCATGCGCATATAGAGAAACTGAGAGCAGCGAGTGTGTGCAGTTTACGGATTTGGACGATGAGGATAGCTTCCACAGTCGATATTCCCAGCACCATCCAGTCTGAAAAAACGGGGGTGTCGGTGTAAAATAATCATAACCATAGTAATAATAATGGTAATGAATAATCGTTCAGCTGTAACACCCTTTTGGTGTTTAGCTGCCATGCTACCCGAGAAGCCACGAAGGCTGAGATACTGCCAGGTTGCTCGAACTCAGACGAGGCTGTTGATATGTCGGACTTAGTTTCTAACCATGGATCTTCCAGTAGGTGAGTTTACACGTCAGCCACTGCACCGCCTTTGGTTTCATCGGCTGGAACGAGAATTGGAATCCCACTATGCAACGAGGCAGCAAGAAGGGAGTAGTCAATTATTGCGGCTATTTAGCATTTGAAAGTGCTTATCTCTGCTTAATTCCGGATGTGTAACAATCACTAAACCATCCGCCAATAATGTGCTCCTCAGCTCATTCTGTCGGCGGCTGGTTTTGGGAGAGAAATCACTTGATGTTCATCTCTTGTTCGCGTCAGTGGTTTTGGTGACATTCTTCTCATCCGACCCCTCTCCTCTTATTACATCCTTATTTACCGTTACTCACGTAATCGATCACAGGTGAACAAGTAAACAGGGAGAACTTTCGGTTGGTAATCGTTTGAAGTTGATGAACTTGTGGCAGGAATCGTAGAGAAACCATGTAACAATATATAGAATTCATGGAGAATGACTAATCACACCTGTAGTGTACAGTCAGGGTCCAGAACAGTAAAAAGCTGTGAAAACAGTGGGGAGAGTGTTCCCAGGAGATTTATATCGTGCTGCTCGGAAAGAAGAGACAGTAGACAGTTGACGTTAGTGGATGGCTCAGAAGGGAACAAAAATTCTACATTTATGATAAATAAGTGGGTTGGGGTTAGAGCTCGAGACAATTCACTAGCTGAGACGCGGATTTACTGACGAGAAAATTCGTTGTTCGAAGACGACCTCAACATCTTGACTACTGCTTTGGCTTGGGTAACCTGGCATTATTTCAGCTCACGTGCTTCCTTCGGGTAGCGTGCCCAACAGGCACCGAAAAGGATGTTACAGCTGAACGTTTATTAGTACTTCTATTGAGAGGAATGCTGATATCGAACAAAACAAAGATTATTATTGTTAGTCGCTTAGAGATGAAACGGCAGCGGGGAAGTGGGGCATTTCTGTATTTTTATGGATTGAATGGAATCGTACTTAATGAACTCAAGCTGGGGATGCTTATATGATTGGTAATGCCACCAAGGCGCGGTGAGGATTGCTTGGATGGGTAATAAGTGGGTTTTTGGAGAGTCGAATCGTCCGATTGTGTTTGAATACAGTTAGAAGTGAACTGTGGAACAACGGATGTGAGATGGCAAGAAACCCTTCTGAACTCCGGCCTTGAAACTAGGTTTTTTGGATGGCTTCATCGGTTGAATTTGCAGAGGTTTCTCCAGGTTCCTTCAGAACTTTACAATCCACTTGAGCAGAAGATAATACAGTCAAGCATGTGGCCTGTTGCTGTGCTCGATCTGAAGCCTCCGCTGCGTCAAGAAAACAGTTCATTCTCACTAAATTGGCACAGGACAGATGACAGGACGTTAGAGGCATTCGCCAACAGGGCAACGCTAAAGCAGTGACCACCAAACCACTCAGGAAGGCGTTGTTTTCATGGTCAGAATGAGCACAAGAACTCTTTGACTAGCCTTATGCCTAACACATGTACCCTTGGTCTCATTGACGGTGGGAATGCATTCATCAGAGATTATGCAACCTCTTTGCTCACCATGCAGACAGAGACTTGGCTAAATGATTGGTTAGAGGTGAATTGCAGCATGTCGCATAAAAACGTTGGCAATACTTGTCGGAAGCTTAACACCGTAAAATTCGTCGAGCCAGAAGGATGAATGAAACGGGCGGAACTGAATGAAAACACGCAACCGAACGATCTTTGGAAGAACCCGGTACGATGTGAAAGCTGTTCCGAATGGGTCAAGAACAGATCGAGTCTACTGATAGCTGCAGTCGTGCTTCCGAATTTGAGTTGGAAGGCGATCGTGAAAAACGGCCTGCTGGGTCAACGTGCGTCGAATCGGCAGATCAGTCAGGTAGTCGATATGAAGTCGCCAACAATGCATAGCTCTATGGTAAGTTCTGATTATAGGATAGTTGAATGGTTTGGCTTTGGACAGATGCGCCATGGCAAGCGATAAACACAAGAATTATCGGCAAACTTTTGAAGGATTGCTTTTGAGCCATAGCCTGGAAATCTGACGCGCATGCGTCAAGTGAAATCAACCGGAAGACTGAATGCGAGGGACGGGTGCAGTTACAAACTCTACCTTCAAAACAGACAGATTGGTGTTAACCTGGAAAGAAGACAGTTGGGGTCACAAGCATAGGCAATTTGTATTTTACAGGAATAAGGTGGAAGGGATGAGATGTAAGCGTGTCACTTGACAACATTTTCGAGGACATGGATTTCACCATAGGAAGCTCTGAATGTGCGAGTAGGATGAATATTACGTCTTTCTGTGTGGCCATGTTTAATGGATAGGTGGGAAAACCTGCAAACAAACGCAGAGTTTAGATTATTGACTTGAACATAAATAATTCGTTCAGCTGTAGCACCGTTTCGGTGCTGCCATGCCATGTTTAATGGATAGGTGGGAAAACCTGCAAACAAACGCAGAGTTTGGATTATTGACTTGAACATAAATAATTCGTTTTAGCACCGTTCCGTTTCGGTGCCTAG